ATGCTGACGAGTGTAGCCTAGAATCATTCTTGGTCTGCATTTTTGAGACTTGCAAGGCTTCCGAGTACTTCCAAGAGTGCTTCGCAGGTTGAGAGAACTGCGTGTTGATGCTCGATTTGTTAGTTGGAGATGTGCAAATGCGGTTGGGCTCCATGTCCGGAAGTAACATTACAGGATGAGAGTTTCCTGAAGTGACTGGCATGTCCAAGCAGCTAGTTACTGGTCATCAACGGCTTTGTTGCCGGAGGCCTCCCCATCACCATCTGACGAGCAGCGGAGTGATCAGGGCACAGCGAGTGCAAAATGCTGGGTTGGAGTTTGTCTTGATTGGGGTTGCATTTCCGGAGAGATTGCCAAGAAGACAGTTGCGAGCTGCGATGCCTGATCCAAGCGTTGAACGTTGAACTTTGGAGTACCATCGCCAAGATCCATTTCGCCTGTGTCAGGAGCCCTTTTCACGGCTCTGGTGTTTCGGATGCTGCTACAGTTATATCGCTGCTGCTGCCATTCCTTCTGGTCGTTGTTGCCGCTAGTGCGACGATGACGGTGACAACCACCACCACCACCACCACCACCACGACCCCCCACGCCCACACCCACCACCACCGCCGTGACGACGACCGACAACAGCTCATACTTACGATGACTACCAGTGTTACTGGTGCCATAGAGCTGCTCCTGCAGCACCTGCGACTGCGACCGCGGCTGCGACACTTCGACGGCGACGACGACTACTGCCGCCGCTGCTGCTGCCACAACAGCACTTTCCCAAAGCGACGAAGATAGCTACGATAGATGGCTTGACTTCCTCGACAAGCTTCTTGTCCTCCAGTTTAAAGTATCAAGATCAAACCAAAGTCAGCTCAACCCTAAAGCTGTTGAGCTGCTCGTTTTGTAGACAGTGCATGTAGAATGCGTGTTATCCGGAGATGATTGCTTCCCTGAGAACACATGTCGGCTTGTTTTGAACATTCTTGAAAGCCTAAGACTTCTGCACATTGTTTGCCATTTCTCTCATGCGCACAAGGGATCTGTTTTGTGCAGACCTCCAAGGACCATGCATTGCCCAAACTCAAACCCGGTAGTGAAGGCTCCACAGCTCCAACCAATATGTGAGGCACGCAGCTGTGATCTCGTTAAGCAAAACAGAGCATCCTAGTAGTGAAGCTAGTATGCTTTAATCTCTTCGGGGTTCGATGATCCCGGCATAATCTCAGACTCTCAGAGGTAAACTATTAGAGTTCCCTATGCATCAACCCAAAGATTACCCGTTAAAGTTCCCTAGCAAAACTGGACAGATAAGTCCCCCCTCAGGGCTTAGCCGCTCAGTTTCCGCATGCCGTGCTCCGAAACTGACGATGACGACAGCTGCTCCTTGGATTTAGGGTTCAGGGGTTTAGGGTTTGGGGTGGTTGGTTTAGGGTTTATTGCTTCTTGTTAGGTTTGGAGGTTTAGGCCGGGTCTGGGGTTCAGCGGTTTTGGGGGGTGAGGGCTTTAAGGGTTTTGGGGTCCAGAGCTGTAGGGTTCATTAGGGGTTTCGGGTATTGCGTTAGGGTTCGATGTTTTGGGGTTGTTTGGCGCTTTGTTTGTTTATGATCAAGGGCCTCAGGAGTGGAGGGGTTTTGGGTTTGCGTTCGGGCGTGCCGTCGTGCCTAACCCAATCATGGTTCGAGCGCATTAGCCTGCAGACTACTTGGAGGATCGGGGGACTTAGTAAGTATGGTTATAAGTCCCTTAATTGCGGTTATAAGTAGTTGTAAGTATAGTTACCTTATTTATACTCCTAGTTGCTAAGTCCCATGATCCTTTAAGTACCCATTTCAAGACAACCCACTTCTACTTCTCATGGCATTGAGGCATCTGGTGGACGTCGTTGTTTTCCAACACGGATAAGTCGGTGGCATGATCTTGAGCTTCTTCGGAGGTTCAGAAGGAGTCCCACAGGTCCAGGTCTGGGGTACTCAGCATCAACTGCTGATGACTCGCCTCCTAATTACCCTAGTGAGATGGGTGACGGGCCGATTTTGGGTTCTGGGTATAAGGTTTGGTGTTCATGTCTAGAGTCTATAGGGTGTAACAGTGTAGAGTTCAGAATTTGGAGCTCGCTGCTGAAATGTTGCGCTGCAGCATGAGTCATGCAACGTGTGTGGAGTGCTCGGTGCTTTGCGACTTCGAAGCCAGCAACCCTTAAGTCGAGCTGTGGCCCTACACGCGTATTCCTGAATTATACGCCCCTAACCTCCCAAAACTTCAGTCGATCAACCAGAAAGTATCTCTCCCTCTCTCTCTCTCTCTCTCTCTCTCTCTCTCTCTCTCTCTCTCTCTCTCTCTGTATATATATATATATATATATGTGTATATATGCATACACACATCTTATGAGTGTATATATATATATATATACATATATATTATATTATATATATATATATGTTTGTGTAACTGGGTATGTGTATACATATATATATATATATATATATATACAGCTAGATGTGTGTGTGTATATACATATATGTGCACATATGCAAGCCCAGGCTCCTCCACGTCCTTGCCCGACCTGGAGCCGGTGGAGAACTTCCCAGCCTCCTCCAGCGATGACCAGGCAAACTTTAGAGATTATGTTATGATGGGCTGTTCTCAGCATTAGGCGTGCTGTTATGGTACCATGTGCTTAAAATTACACAGTGACGCTTGATGCTGTTAGTGTAGTTGTTACTCTTGTTGTTGGTGGTGGTGCTGCTGCTCGTGTTGTCGTCTTCGACGTCATTGTAGTAGTAGTAGTAGTAGTAGTAGTAGTAGCAGCAGCAGCAGGAGTAGTAGTAGTAGTAGTAGTAGTAGTAGTAGTAGTAGTAGTAGTAGTAGTAGTAGCTAGTAGTAGTAGTAGTAGTAGTAGTAGTCGTAGTCGTAGTAGTAGTAGTAGTAGTAGTCGTAGTCGTAGTAGTAGTAGTAGTAGTAGTAGTAGTAGTAGTAGTAGTAGTAGTAGTAGTAGTAGTAGGAGTAGGAGTAGCAGTAGCAGTAGCAGTAGCAGTAGCAGTAGCAGTAGCAGTAGCAGTAGCAGGAGGAGGAGGAGAAGAGGAGGAGGAGGAGTAGTAGTAGTTGTTGTTGCTGCTGCTGCTGCTGCCGCCGCTGCTGCTGCTGTTGGTGTGGTTGCGATTGTTGTTGTGGTCGCGATTGTGTGAGTGTGGTTGTGGTTGCGATTGCGGTTTCGATCGTGGTTGTGGTTGCGATTGTGGTTGTGGTTGTGGTGGTGGTGGTAGTGTTGCGGCTCTCGTCGAGGTTGTTGTTGTTTGGGGTCTTGGGCATCGTTCAGGGTGTTTGCCGGGCAGCAGCTTTCAAGCACGACCTGCCGTTACTTCAGTTCCAGTCTGAACGCGAAGCCCCTACCGAACTGACGAACTGAAGCTGTGAACGCAGCCACTTTCCGGTTCAACACTGGGCATATCCAAATCCACTGCACCCACTACAACCCTCGGAGGAAACCGGAAAGCCTCCAAACTGCTAAACTGCTAAGCGTACCACCCCTCGGAACCAAAACCCCCAGAGCCCATATCAGCCGATAAACCCCAAGGCCCGGCCGGAGACGTACTTCTTCCGCCTTGCTGGGTCCGGGGAGACCAAGGAGACCCGCACACGAGGGCTACTGGATTTGGCTTTTGTGGCTTGGTTCTAAGGGCTTCGGGCTATTTCGGGCAGTTGGGTTCGTGTTTTTCGGTAGCGGTTGTTTAGGGCTTATGGTTCGGGACTGTTCTCGGGCACGGAAGGCATCGACAAGTCAGAACGCAGACTCACCGAGGGAATCGAAGCTCAGATCACGAGATTTAGCGCCCGGGCCCACACTTCACACTAGACTGCCCATAAGTAATGACGATAACAGTCGCAGCTATCGAGTTTGTACAACGAATTCATCAAGAGCCGACGGTCAGACCACTAAGCAGCAACAGCCTAGTGACCTGGCATGCCTGGCTTCGAGACGGAATGTTCGGAAGAGTATCGGGCGCAATCCTCCTCCTTCTGCTCCTCTCTGCCGCACAGAGCACAAGCAGCAGCAGCACACCCGAAACCATCACGAAAGCTCTCACCCGGGAGCCTTTCGTTTCAATAGTCAGAAATTGTTCTGCCAGAAGGCTTAGGGGGTGTGTGGGGGGGTGGGGGAGCCTCCCAAATCTGAGCCAATTTGGGTCAAATGGAAAACGAGCCTTCGATGATGCTCGTGATGCTCGCCTGCCAGCTCCGATTGGGACCCCAGTGATGCTCATGATGCGCTTAGCTTTTCTGTGTACGGTCCTCACTCGTGCTCACGATGGCGTCTCGGTTGATGAAGCTAGAGCTTTCGTCACCCCCCTCCGGGTCTCAAGTAGTTCCCATAAATCCTCAGGCCCTTATAGACCCCAAGCCCTAGCCCCTACTTCAAAATCGTAGGCACTAAAGCCTATAAACCCTCTAAACTTCTAGGCCCTGATAATATCCTATAAAACCCCGTGCCTCCTTTGTAGCCGCAGGAGAAGCTCTCTGAGGCGGAGGCTCTTTGGGCCGACCCTCCGGAGCGAGTCGAGAGGCCCTGGGAGGCTGAGGCAGGGAACGGGGTCTTAGGGTATTGGGGTTATAGGGCCTTAGGGTTTAGGGTATTAGGGTTTAGGGTTTAGGGCTCAGAGTTTAGGGTATTAGGGTTTAGGGTTCGGGATGATCTTGATTCAGGACCTAGGATATGAGAGTAGGGTTCGGGGTATGAGTGAGTTAGGATGATCGGGCTTATGTAGGGCTTTTGGTGCACATCTGTGGGCGGATGTACCTTTTTGATCACGGCGTTGTGCGCTGCCTGTGGAACATCTGCACTTCATGTTTTGCTTGGAGGATCGGGGGACTTAGTAAGTATGGTTATAAGTCCCCTAATTGGGGTTCTAAGTAATTGTAAGTATAGTCCTTATTTATAACCCTAGTTACTGAGTCCCATGATCCTTTAAGTAAAAGTGTGCCCATCGCAGCCCTGTGGAGAGGTGAAGATGGAGGACCGGCGTCTGATGCAGCAGCCCTGCAACGAAGAGCTCTGTGAAGATGAGCTTGGCTATCCGAAATGGCCGGATGAGATGAATCTTTGATCATTTCAGGGAGTTTTGGGTTTAGGGTCATTGTAGGAGTGACTAGAATCCTGTCCTGCTATGACGGAAGAGGCTGAGCGGCTAAACTGGTATGTTACACTCCCTTCCGCAGGGGATCCTATTCAGCTTCCAGCGATCCAAGGTCGCCTGGGAACCTTATATCCGACACTGTAATATAGGGCCCAAATAATTACCAATACTATTCAGGGGGTTACTTATTATTATCATGGTTTAATATACCACAAAAACTCTATTTCAATTATGAAGGCCCCTGTATCAATCATTTCGAAAGCTCAGATGGCATCTGGCAGCAGCACAGCTCAGGAAGGATCCGGAGTACTTCAAGAAAGAGCTGCAGAGGATGCGCGAGGATGTGGGAGTAAGTCTGCAAATTGGCAAACAACCGGTTTAGGGTTTAGGGTTATTTCTGAGTGCGACTTCCAGAAAGAGTATACGTATACTGAAGTTGCAGGAACCTGTTGACCTTGTCCGGGACGTGCATACAGCTGGACAGCCACGCAATTGTCATAATCCACTTATGCAGCATATGCTCTGTAGCCAATCATCCCTTTTAGCTTCCAGGCATGATAAGAATGTGGAATTTCGGGAAAGCCCAGCCCCGGATGCGAACGTTCTTGCCTGGTCAAGCACAGAGCCCTGACAGGATCCGCGCAACAATGCCAATCGCGGGCGCTCTATGGAGGAGCCGAGTGGGATTTGCAGAACCTAGAACCTTCTTATGAAGGAGTCTGAATGCTCTTGTCACTTTTGTCTTTAGACTTGCAGTCCAAGGTATAAAGTGACTGATCAACCAGACTGACCTCGAACGTGTGGCTTCGATGAACGATACGACACGCAAGAACACAAAAGCATTGTTGCACGGGACCCCGGCGCTGAAAACCCCGGCTGGGAGTTTGTGGCGGGGTGCTTCTGGCGGTCTAAACTCTAAACTGCCTCTCCGGTACGGCGCTTTTCAGCAAACAGTCGCACGTTGAGTTGCTTTTGTTGCAGTCTCTCGCCTCTCTCTCTCTCTCTCTCGCCTCTCTCTCTCTCTCTCTCTCTCGCCTCTCTCTCTCTCTCTCTCTCTCTCTCTCTCTCTCTCTCTCTCTCTCTCTCTCTCTCTCTCTGTCTGTCTAAACCCTAAACCCTAAACCCTAATTTGTGCAGATGCACAACCCTACCCGAGGACCAGGAGTTCTGGAACGAGGCTGCCCGGCTCCCCTGGGCCAAGGCAGGGACTTTCGACTCCAAGGTTACCTACACCGATAGAAATTTCGGGGCTCCTTAATTGAGTTATAACTTATAATATATTATGGGCCCTAAAACTAAAACCCTATTCTAATTGTGATTTATAATAGAATATGGGCCCTAAAGCCGTAGTCTAATGGTGTTTAAGGCCCCGATATTATGGAAATGGCAGACGGCAGGTTCAGGATTTGGGGTTTCAGTAGAAGTATCGCTTTCGTTTCATGAAGTCCCATAGATGGCTCTCGCGAGTTACAGTGGATAACTTGGAAGACGCTGGAAGTTCGAAGTGGTCTCACCAACTCGGGAGCTACAGTACTTGTGGCTCAGGTTTTTTTGCCCCAGCTAGCGTCCGTGTCGTTTCGGGTTTAGGGTCATGGTTTAGAGTTTTGGTTGAGTAGAGACGCCTCGAACCTCAAAAGCCCAACCCTAAACCCAAAAAGTTTCAATATGTGCTATAGAGCCCACAGGTCCTGCTGCGCAAGGAGCAGTATTGGACGGAGAGACGGAATGTTTGGCTCCAGCAGTATGGCAAGGCACACCTAGCAGGGGGCGGGTAGTTCAGGAGTTAGGGGTTTTGGGCAGGTTAGGTTTGGGGCTTTAGAGTGGTTTTGGGCAGTTTGGGGGGGTCAAAGTTTTGGACAGTTTGGGGTTCAGGGGATTTGGGCAAGTTGAGGGTTTAGAGTGTGGGTTAGCTCAGGCTTGATAGGGCTGATACGCAGTTTTTTGGATTAGGGTTTGATACATGTCGGAATGTCGGGATGTTCAAGGTTTACATACGGCTTACTTATGGTTCATTGTTTGGGGGTTTTAGGGGTTCCGTATTGAGCGTTCGGGATTTGGGCTTGGAGCCCTGGCACGTCAGGTGGTTCGGGGAAATCGCGGCCGGCTACGCATGGGTGAGGACCACTCGGCTGGGGCGCTTGGAGGATCAAGGGACTTCGTAAGTAAGGTTCTATAAGTTGTATACGCTCCTCAATTCGGGCTATGATGATAATGAAATAGTTACAGTACCTTGTTGCTAACCACAGCTACTAAGTCCCATGATCCTTTCAGTGGGGTTGGAGACAGTTTCGATTTTCTTTGGCCCTGTTATTGGGGTGCTGGGAGTCCCGGAAGCTCAACCCAAAATGAGGTCTGAATCCCTGAGCTTTGAGGCCTTATAGTCAGGGCCAAGTCCAAAGCCCCTGTGGCACAGCCAGGAGCTTGAGGAGTGCTCTGTGGAGCTACGGCGGCTTGTGGCCCCGGTACGGCTGTCAGCGTGTAGTTGGGCATTCGTGGAGAGGCATCAGCCAAGACTTGCTCAAGATTTGAACCTGTTGGGGGCCATAGGCTGCACATTATGTCACTGGCTCTTCACCCTGCAAGATTGTTTGTTGCACGGGCTTGCCTCATTTGCGGTCTCCGGCGAGGTACTCCATTGCCGAGTGGTCGAGCAGCTGCTTCTGACTGCGCTCGAGGTCCGACTTCGTTGTGGGTCTTGGTGTCCCTTTGCAGGAGATTTTAACCTTAATTAACATCTTTGTTTGCACAGGTCAAGATCTGGAGCTTGTAGCTATTGTAGCTTTCAGCTTCGACAAGGTTCTTGAGGGGGACAGCTGCAGCTTCTGCAATGTGTTATATTTTCGGATGTTTCAAGGGACGTTTCTTCAGGTTCCCCAAGAAACAAAACCTTTCGCCCGACGCCTGGGGAGGAAGCTGACGACTTGCAGCTGACCTTGTCCGACTTCCTTGAGGACTGATGCGCCACAGTGTTGATTTCAAGCTTGCCACTTCAGGTTGGGAGTCGGTGAGTTTGTGCACAAACGCTCTTCGTGTTTGGATCCCTGGATCCTGCATATGCTGTGGCCGGCTTCGCGAGACTTCGCGTTCATCTCCCTAGACCGCAGCCCCACAGGACTCACCAGGATGTGAGCTCCTCGCGGAGCTGCAGGCCACCTGCTGCCGCCTAGCCTGTGGCACGCGCGAGGCCGAGCCGCCTTCAAACGAGGGGGGCTTAAACTACTAACACAGGGTTTAGGGTTTAGGGACATTGGATTTAGGGGTTTAGGGTTTAGGGACATTGGATTTAGGGGTTTAGGGTTTAGGGTTCCATCAGTCACGTTTATGGGTATCGTATCATAGCCCCACAAAGAAGGCCCCATTGTTAGAAATTGCTTTCTGTTCTCTTACGGTTCCATTGGTTCTGAAGTTGAGGATTCAAAGCTGGGGCTTCGTCTAGCTCGTTCAGGATTTGAGTTTCATAGGGCTTGGGGTTGAGAGTTTCGAGCATTGAAAAGACTCCGGCAGGAAGCTTCGGCTCGGAAGTTGCTGATGTTTACGGTTTCTTCTACCTGAGGAACCCCTTTGCCCTTTTAGCTTTAAATTCCAGGTCTCCTTATGAAAACCGAATAGTAGGAAAAACTGCACCCCGCTTACAAATGGGCTACTCAGAGACCTAGACGGGAACTGTATGGCCGGACATCCTCCTTTGTTCCCTGGTCTCACACAGCTGCCGAAGCCGGCCGCGTATGCAGAGCTAACGTGCGATGAAGCTCTTCGGAAAGTACGAAAATACAACAACCCAAGTGTTCCTAAATGCTAATAAACTTGTTTGACATCGACCCCAGTTTACTTTCTGAAGCCTCACGCCCTCCAAATCGGGGCGCCAGAAGCCACCTGGCTTCGAAATCTCTAAAGACAGATGCCAAATATCCAACCTCAGCTCCAATCGAGAGCGGCTTGTCTCCGGAAGCGACTTGCTCATTCGGTTCTAGCCGCACCTCAACTAAGCTGCTTGCTGCCGGATTGATCCTGGCTCCTAGGAATCAACAGGGAACCCACCATGACTATAGTTTCGGGGGTTGGCATCCGGCTTTCCTTCGCAGGTTTCTTGCTTCAGGAAGGGGCATGTCTAGTAGGCAACAGCTGTGTCTGCAGATGTCTTCTAGTTAGCACTACATGATTTGACCGACAGCAGCTGTGAATCAGGAGCAGGAGCGGCAAGCGACGCTGATGCAGGACAAACTACAGCTGCGATGTTTTCCTGGGCTGCTTCTGGTGCAGTTGTCATTCAACAAGGTCTCTTCAGGTCCCGAGCACCAAGATCCCCCAAACCCGAAACCCTACATTAATGAATCTTCCTGGCGTGAGGAAGAGTTGGACGGCCGACTGAGGGAAGCCCAGCAAGCTGCCCAAAAGGAGTTGGATCAGGCACATCCCCTGTAACAATGTGAGACAACTTCCATTGGGTTCGGGGCCTTTGGGTCTTGGAGGGGGTTAGGATTTTGGATGGCATGATGCAGAGTTTGGGCTTCAGGATGTGTCAGCAAATTCCTCAGCAAAGCCTTCGCCTTACGAGCAAGTGGAGAGCCGATAAGCCAGCCTTGAAGGCCACTCCGGCCCGGACAATAATCGACATGGAGGGGCTCCGCGTTGCTTTGGAGTACGGCCAGAAGTGCCGCAAGGTGGGAGTCTCGGAGTTTCGCTCGCCGCTCCGGCAGATCGAGCTCAGGTTGACAGAAATGTTTGCAGTGTGTGCAGACAACCGAGAAGCTAGCAGTAGTAGTCGTAGTAGTGGTGGTGGTGTTGGTAGTAATCGTAGTAGTAGTAGTAGTAGTAGTAGTAGTAGTAGTAGTAGTAGTAGTAGTAGCAGCAGTAGAAGCCGAAAGCGCCGTCGCCGTTGAAACTAGTTCAACGTGCGCTCCAATCCGGCGTCTCATCAGCCAAGTTTGAGTCTGGGCGGAGAAGTCAACGGACGAAACTTCCTGAGCAGCTACCGCAGCCATTCGAGCAAGCTGAAGTCGTCGTGAAGCCTAAACGTAAATCAGTAATCCCGAGTCCAATTCCATTTAAACCTTTGCTGCTAAACTTTCGCCCTTTGTGTACAAAAGCCTGGACGAATCGCCTCATCTGAACCCTTGTACCGCAAAGCCCGAAACCAACCCGCAAACCCTGTCGATCTGGCAGTTTCAGCGAAATAAGGGGCGCAAAAAAGACCTCACTTCAAGGATCCTCTTGGTATCGCATTGTGTTATTTCCGCAATATTGTGATTACTTTTACACTATTACAAGGATCCTGGCCTGATGAGTACCCCCCATCTGAATCCATCTGACATCTCCGACGCGAGGATGGCCTCGTGGAGTACCAGCGTGGCAACTTCGAGGAGGCCCTGCACAGCTGGAGGCCACCGAATAGGCCGTTTTAAGGGGTTAGGGGTGTAGGGTTTAGGGTCCAGTACTCAGGGTTTGTAAGTAGGGTTGAGGCTTGCGTTGGCCCGATTGAGAACACTGTGTTCGAAGGGTTCATGCTTCGCAGGGAGGTTGATGGGCTGTTCTCCCACAAGTGTTTTTTCCCGCATGTGTGCCGCATTCTTGAAACAGGAGGGCTTCAGTGTTTGATAGGGGAACTCCTTCTCCTTGATGCGGGTTCTTCAGGGGGGGGGGGGGGGTTACAAGGGAAGGGGGTTAGGCTCATGCAGCGCTGCCGAGATGTGCGCCGGGGGAGCCGCATTTCTCAGAAACAGAATGATTTGGGGATTGTGGATTCTGTGCCTTGGGGGCCGATGTTCAACTCATGCATGTAGGTATGTATGCATGTAGGTATGTATGTATGTAGGCATGTCTGCATCGATGCACCTTTATGTTCGTCTACCCACCTGCCGACACTGGACCAGCAGGCCGCCCAAAATTGCTATGTCCGGTCAAGTTCTGATATGTTCGTGATCTTTGTCTTTGCTTCTCGGCACCTAAACCCTAAAGCCTCCCTGAGCCCTAAACCCTAAACCCCCCTAAACTCTAAATGCTAAATTTCAACCCTGAACCTAAATCCTCCCTGAACCCTAAACCGTAAAGGCAAGGCGATCTTGGCCTCCGGCGCTTTCGAGCGCCGATGCGCTGCGAGGCCCGGGTTTGGCGAATCAGATAGCGGTAGTAGTAGTAGTAGTAGTAGTAGTAGTAGTAGTAGTAGTAGTAGTAGTAGCAGCAGCAGTGGTAGTAGCAGTAGTAGTGGGAGTAGTAGTAGTCGTCGTAGTAGTAGCAGCAGCAGGAACAGTAAATAGTGGCCGTTGTCGTAGTCGTACTTGCATTAGCCTTATTAGCTGTCGTCGTACATACATAGCAGCAGGGGTCGTGATTACCGGTGGCAGTGGTAGTCGTAGTATGGGCATGACAACGACACGACGACTCCCGGGCAGAAGTTGGCCCCAACAAGTGGCAGGTCACTCTGCGACCCCTTTGCCAACTGCGAGTATAGTTTGAAAATCAGTACCACGATCTTCTCCATTGGGAGTGTTATACTTCTTGAGCGTATCATGTGTAGTGTAGCTTTTATGACATGAATAATCTGTATACTCGTATACCCCATTACGTTTCTTTGACGCTGGTGTAGCTTTCGCTTATTTGACTCGGGTAATAACGCGCTTCGTGGGTTCGGGAGTTCGATGTCCACCCGAGTTGCTGGATTCGCTCTACGCATCAGGAAAGCAAGGCCAAATCCGAGCCCGGAACCCCCAAGCGCAGCGACGTAATTATGCTTTCTGTACCCTTTTGGCAGTTGTTGTATCATAAGACGCTTTATTTGTATGACCCGATTGAACCTGAACAGATCGCCTCTGAGCTCCCACTCCCACGCACAGGATGAAAACACCATGCTTCGCGAGCTGCACGGTTCGGTCCTGCGTAACTTATCCCAGGCCTGGGTCTGCTACTTGCTCGGTCCAGAAGGTTTTGCAGCTTCTCATGTCGACCCAAACCGGACGACTGAAGAACAAGTCTCGGATTCAGATCTTGAAGGCTTTCCTGGTATGGTCCACTTAGGCTCCATGTCAGACTGTCAGTGCTGAGTGACGTGAGGATTCCGTGAGGATGCCTGAAATGACAACTCTTGGAACCCCAATTCCTGACCTACGGCCCCTTGCGTGTCCGACCTGCTTCATGCGCTGGATCATCATTCTCAGGCCGCTTTGAAGCTGGGTAGCTACGGAGAGGCCGGCAGAGTACAATTGCAGCCGAACCAACCCTATCATTGTCCTCAGAATTATCATCCCAACCAGCAGCCTCCACCAGCACCAGCACCAGCGGCACCAGCATCAATCAGCTCACCGTCACCGCCACGAGCAGCAGCAGCAGCGCCGTCATTGTCATAAGCACAATCCGATCACAGCTTAATCCGTTAACAAATCGAATCGCTGGCAACACGGAATGCATCGAGGGTTCATTGTCCCTACTTCCCTCGCTGCCGTGATGTGAACTTTTGTAGTTCTGGCTGTTGTTGCAGCTCGTCGCCACCATTGTTTCCATAAGGTTTTTTTGCAAATTGACAACCGCACCTGTTGCATTGCAATGGCGGTCATCTCTACCTTGGTTCCGCAGATGGTGATGTGGGTCATGTTGGCCGCTCCTCTTGTTAGTCGGCCGGGCAGGCGCTAGATGCTGCAAACAGGGCCATTGCACTTACTGGTGGCAAGGGCCCGAGACTGGAGTGTCCCTCGCAGCATGGGCGGCATCGTTTCGAGCTGTCGCAGGATGCCATGTCGTGCAGACAGTCCAGGAACCAATTACATGAAATATGAACCGCCGGGCTAGGCAGTTGCTGCACGCCGCTCGAGCTCGAAATCAATCTCGAATTCAGTGCTCGACCTTGCTCAGCATCTCAAAGCCTTAAAGCCCGAATCCCTCCGTGGATGCCTGGACAAAGCAGCTAGGAAAGGGTCCACAAAAACTCCCCCATGAGGTCGAGGTCTGGGTCAAGGCGCCGGCGATGCGCAGGGAAGCTCAGAAGCAAGGACTTGAAGCCCTCCAAAAAATCGCGGGCGTTTGGAGGTTTCGAGTTGTGGGCGCCTTGCATCGGGTAAAGGAAGTCCGGCTGGTGATGCGGAGCATCTTCAGAGACCTCCACATGCTTCCGAACCGGTACCCAGGTTGGGATGTGGCTTAGAAGCCTCCGGCGAGATCGACGTGAAGGCCGTCGATCCTGTGTTTTGTGTTCAGGCTTTCAGTTAGTTGCATTCATCCGGGCTTCAGCCTAAAGTTCCGCTGCTCAGACAATGGTGCGGAGAGCTGTGTCTGTACGTGTTCATTGTCGCACGCAGGGCCAAGTGCATCCACAATATCCACATCTCGTAGGTTGCCTGCCAGGCATTCCACGGGCTGGAGTCATAGTCATCACATAATATTGAATAAAACACTGTTAAAGAAGAATAATCATGGTAAGTGTAGCTGGGCCTCCAGGCTTGGTATCGACGTCACTTGGCTTTGGAGGTGCGCCGTGCCTACCGCACATGCTTCTCGTGGGAGGATTTTAGCCGATTAGGGTTTGGGATTTGGGGTTCTATCGTCTCAAGATCTTCAGCTGCTGGCATGATGCTGCTCAGACTCCCAGACTTGAGCCCGAATCAGCTACAGGGTTTGCGCCGGCCTGCGCCTTGCCCTCCCCTGCTTGCTGAAGGGCAGCCTGCACCGCCTCTGTCTCATTCGCCCGACAGGTTCATATCTTCCGGAATTCACTCTCACATCCACAAAAACTGACTTGAATCACAGGCCAGTCATGGTGCATCATCCCCAGATCCACTTTTGAATCCCGAAGCCCTACAAGCCCAGAAATCTGCTGCGGCGCAGGGATTGGGCTACGTCCGCGAGTCGGCAGCATGCCTCCAGTACATTGAGGAGGCACTGGGCTTCGAGGGTTTATGTAGGGTTTTGCAGGGCTCAGAAGGGGCTTTGAGGCTTTATCAGGCTCTTTTGTGTAAGGTTAACCAAGCTTTGTTGGTTGGGTGTTGCTAAGCTTTGGGTTTGGGGCTTTGTCGGGTTTCGGCGGTTTAGGGTTTAGCGACCTGAAACACGGTGTGAGAGAAGATGCAAGAGGATGTCGGACTGTCGGCTGTATCGGAGTGCAGGGTTCAGGGATCTTTGATCTTGGGTACTGTAGGCATGGGGATCAAGGGGTTAAGTCATAGGAGTCATACCGTAGGAGTCATAGGGTTTTAATTTAGGTATGAGGATTTCGGGACTCAAGCTGAGGATGAAGGTTGCAGGGTTTGGTATTTGGGGGATCCGGTTAGGGCTTTGGCTACTAGAGTCGCTAAGGGCTTATACTTGAGGATCGGGCTCCAGCATGTATCTGGGGGATCAGGGCTCGTCTAAAGAAGGGAAGGAGTAAGGTAAGGGAGCTGAGGCTGAGCAATCCGTGTGAGGTTGCTTAGTTCATTCGGAACCCACCCCATTCAACCAAAAGTCCGGCTGGTGCCTTCTCAGTGAAGAGCAAGGCCCAGACTTCCAAATTCGTGATGAGGGCTTAGGTTTGAGAATGTGCGGCCTTTGCTTTCTGCATTTTCATGAACTTCGATTCAGAGCTTCTGAGCACACTTCAGGAAGCAGTCCAATGCATCATGCACGAACCATCGCACCAGGCACAATTGAGCAATACGCCATTCCACTGATGTTTCAGCACCGTGTGCATCTCCTTCTTAGGCCCACACCGTTATAAGTGGGTTTATGAAGATGGGAGCCCGTTACCAAGTCCCTAAACCCTTAACCCCAAAACCCATTAAAACGAGCCGGCGTCCTTCTGACATAGTGTAGGAGCCTAAATAGTTACCAATACTCTGCTAAATGGGGTTCCTTACTCTTGTTATAGTATAATAATCTACCCCAAAACCCTGTTCTAATTATTAAGGCCCCGAATATAGAACCCTAGTAATGTGCCGGTCGGTTTAGGAATATGGGCTCCTTTAATGCGTTTTCTCCGGGGCTAATTCCGACCGGTACCAAAAATTTGGGCGGTCTAATTAGTGCGTTTTTTTTTGGCTGGCGGGATTTTTTGGGGGCGGGGCTGTGCTGTTTGCTGATGGTCAAGCTTAAGGCAGCCACGACCTGAAGCCCCCACCCAAACCCTAAAACCCTGGCCCTGAAGACCTCAACTAGGCATACTTAAGCCTAACACCTGAAGCCCCCACCCAAACCCTAAAACCCTGGCCCTGAAGACCTAAACTAGGCCACCCAGACCCTGAGCCCCAGACCCCTGACCCCTGTCCGGCGTCACCGGCTCCATATTAAATAGCATTTTTATTTTTGGTCGGGGGGGGGGGGGGGGGGGGGTAACCTACTCCTAAACCGACCGCCACATTATAGAGCTCTTATAGACCCTTTAAGGATCCCTTTAAAGGAACCCCCATTCTAGTTATCAAGGCCCCTCGTTTGGTCCTGCATTCCTCCCCGGCCAGGCTGCGACCTGTCGTCCCGACGGAGAACGCCTCCGCTGGGGGTCCCAGCTTTTCGGTAATTTCGGGGCCGTAACAATTACCCATATATACTCTTTTGCGGCGTTCCTTATTCTAGTAGTGTAATGGGCCGCCAAAGCCCCTATTGGGTTTGCTAGGCTTGTTCACGGTGTCCGGGCCCTTTGCTGTTGCTTGATGTGCCGCACATGGGCAGCCAGCTTTTCAATCGGAGATAAAAGCTCATCGCTTCCAATGGGCAGCACGACTGATTATGGTCGTCGTGGCAGTTGTTGTTGTTGTTGTTGTTGTTGTTGTTGTTGTTGTTGTTGTTGTTGTTGTTGTTGTTGTTGTTGTCGTCATCGTCGTTATTACTCTTGCTGCCGCTGTTGTCGTTGCATGGTAAGCCGGGGGCGCTTGGTTGCTCGCGGTGTTCCACAGCGAGTTGCGTTTTGCTGCCGCGGGTTCTGTCGGGATTGTTCGTCGTGACGTTTGCCGTTTAGAAGTCTATGACCTGTAAGAGGTTTTGTCACTTTCTACATCCTGCTTGAGCGAGCGAGTTCGATGTTCAATGCGCTTGTAAAGGCCATGAGCCTTAATGTCAAGCGTATGCCCTGAATGCTAAGCCCACCGTCCATGTTTAACATCAAGGAGAGCAAGAGGTCCTCATCGAGCGCTCTGCTGAAGACTTCGTTCACAGGTCGAGATTGCCAGCGCCGACGCGAAAAGATGCGCAAGCAGCAGAGGCAATGACCATCGATGACCCCATTGCAAGAGGATGTGTGCTGTGAGCTGTGGCCTCAATTCGCGGAGTATTGCTGCTTGTCCATGTGGCGATGTGTGCTGGAAGCGCGCACTGGCCAGGGCGGCGGGGTTCCAGCCTGTCCTAGTCTTCTTGCTTCTTAAGTTCTTAGGTCTTTCTAAGCATCATTGAATCAAACTTTCAGCCAGCAACACTGGCGAGATCCCGCGAGCCCAAAACAGCCTCCTTGGCCAGCAGGCGGAGGACTGCGGAAGAGCCGCATGCTCAGAGACAGTGTTTCAAGGGAGGATAAGTTATGTGTCCGCTTCGATCCTTTTCCGACAGGTGTGGGTTTGAGGGTTTCCGGATGTTTTGCAAGACCTTGACATTGAAGACCCTGAAGCACGAGCAGTACTGGTCGCCTGGTAGTGTATATTTCCCTCTCCAAATCCAAGTTGACCGAGCCACAGCTCCAGGAAGTAGTTCCTACATTAAAGACTAATCACCATATCTAGCAGTGTTATCATTAACTCTAGCAGTGGAGCACAGTACGGCACCTGAACACCGCCAAGCCACACGAATCCCATCCTCGTGCCTATCAAACAGCTACTGTGGACCCCAGCAAGCGCCAAAGCTGCAACAAATTCCGAAGTCTGAAGGCCCAGAATCCACAAACCGTTTTGGTTCTAGTCTCAGCCTGAGACGAAGAGCAACTGGCAGCTACGATAACAAGAGTGATCATTGGTCTTATAATTTGCAGAACTAATACATAGTACAGAAGTAATAGAGACAAGCCGGAAGCACGCCGAGAGCCAAGTCAACCCCAGGGGTCGCATGGTTCGCCGGGGCCTCCGCAGTGGCGTCTTTGCCGGGGAGCGTCCAGAGGCCTCCGAGCAGGCAGCTCCCTGGGAGTGAGGGGGCCGACGATCACAAGCTTTAAGGATGAGCAGTTTTTTTGGATCTGGGGGCTGGGGCCGGGGCCCCGGGGTTCGGGCCCTTTGAACTCTGAGGGCTAGGCATTTTGGCCTTGGGGATTTCGGGGCTTAGTCTCAACGGGTTCGAGAGTCTGTGAGGGGCTCAGTCTAAAAGGTTTAAGCGAGTCAGCTTAGGCCTTAGGCTTCCGCCCATCCATGCTGGTCATACTAGCTACTCGTCCAAGAAGAAGCGACTAAACCCCAAACCCTAAACCCTTTGTATCACCGAAGAAAATCGATCCCCTGTGGCCGCCAAGAGGCCCTCGTTCCTTCGGAGACGTCCCCTTGGTCTGCTGGCCTTGCAGGGCCCTGAGGGCCTAATGAAGATTTCCTACAAGCCTTTTGAGACTGGGTTCAGGGGTGTGGTGGTTAGTTGTTTAGGGTTTCGGAATTAGAGTTTGCCTGCTTCGGGCTAGAGATTAGCCTTTAAGGAGGGTGTTTCTTTCAGTACTGTGTTTCAGGGCCCTAAACCCTAAAGCTCTAAACCCTATGCGCTAAAGGGGGTTTAGGGGGTTTGGCGTTCCTTAAAAGGATCCCCCCAAGCGTTCTATAGTAAGTTCTCTAGGGTTTAGTGTTGCAAGGGATGGATGATGTCCAGTCTCGCTGTGTTTCGGGATCATGCTTATTACAACCCATCGTGTGCTGCCCATATCCTTCAGCTCACACTGCAGCAGAGGCTGACCCTGCGGCAGCCTGTGCAGAAGCCGCTGGGGGCTTCAAAGGCTAATTATCCAGATTGGATGTCGGTGCTTTCTTGTGTACATGTGTTCTAGACAGCTTTTTCTCTGGGCAACTCTTAATTGTGTTGTCAGTTGATCATTCGCTTCACTGTTGCTGCGAGAACGGCGGCATCCATACTATTGGTTGCCGTAACGCTACTATATCCAAATTTGCCATTTGTTTTCATCCAAAACATCGTGAGCATGAGGTTTTGGATCGTGGGCATGAGATGTATTCACGTTTTCACTCGTGTCAGGCTCCGGTGATTCCAAACACCTTACGCATGAAGGTGCCACAGAACTGCTGGAGGAGTGAGCGCAATCCTTGAACATCTTCGGATTGTCGAGTGTCGATCTGGAGATACCGAGGTTGGCTTTTGGCCAGGTAGACCGTAGGGTTCTGCCACAAAGCTGTTTATCCCCGAAAGCAAGTGGTTTGTGGACGGCGTCGGGTCCGTATTACCCCTGCATGGTCTCTGACTCGGATCGCCAAGTCGCCAAGTGACCGCTACCAAACGGGCTCAATACCCTTGCACCTGCTAAGTCCTATAAGTCTCTATTTAAGAGGACCTGCGGTGTGCCTACACGGAACCATCTTTCGTCCGCCGCGTGGACAAGCTCAGCAAGGCTGCAGCCTTGGCTGTGGAGATTGCGGGTTCGAGTATAATTTGCAGGGTTAAAGGGTTTCTTTTTCCACAAGCTCTAGACTGTCTGGCGCTAGTTGAATTCTGTTAAAAGGTTTAGGGTTCAGGGCCAAGTTTAGGGTTAGGGTTTGGGGGAAGGTTCAGAACGGTGCTTGAGGTGTTTATGCGAGGCCTTTGCCGGCTCCTGCTGCAATCCAAGAAGTGCTGGGACTTCAAGGCTTATGTCCGTTGGGACTTAGGCTTGTGGAGTTCGGTAGCCCAAGAAGGTCGAGGTATGTCGAGGTAGTACGGGGCATCTCAATGATAGGGATGGGGATCAACTCTAGTCTTCGTCGATTTTACTCCAGAAGCTTAAGGTATCGTTGTTCGGGAGCTTCTAATTCTAGTTACCTGCCATGCCTCGTGCACCAATACCCTGCTGCCGGGGCTTGGGCCAAGGCGTTCACAATCATGGGCCTTTATCAAGTTACAGAGCCGTTCATGATGGCACGAAGGCCGAGAGTGGCCTGCAAGTGGAACGACACAGCTGGACGCTAAGGACGTCCGCTTCGATGCGCGAGAGTTCGCGCCACAGCTCGCCCGGCTGAGTTTCGAGGCTCGCACGGGATGTTGGTGCGGCCCACGGCCAAAGAGTGTCAGCCGTGAGGAGGCACCGTAATGGCAGATTGGGATTCCAAGGCCCGTGGCTGTTGCCGTTACTTCCTCAACTTAATATCCTTGCCACGTCTCAGGAGAATCAAATCGATGGGTGGATTTCGATTGACGATTCACTTGAGACATCACAGACTTTAGGAAGACCCTGGGTCCGCGAGCTTTTTGTTCCACGGGTTCTATACCTATGTCTATTATATGTATATATTTATATGCACACACTTATTTAAATACATAGTCATATTCATGTCCCGGATTTACACAAGTAGCATACCAGAGTACAGTATCCTTTAAGAGATTGTATGCAACAGTGTGTATATATATATATATATGATAGTACAGCTTTTTTTCGCCTTTATGTAATTGAAAGTACAACTGGCTAGCACAAGCCCGCTCTAGTCGCCCAGGCACCTGCCCGTCATCCCCACAGCCGGGGAAAAAACACATATTCCCCTAACGACCAGGCACAGGCGCCAATCCTGAAGAAGTGGGGCTTCGAGGCAGGGTTTAGGGTTTAGGAGGGTACCTTTGAGCCTTGCCCTGGCACTGCCTTGCTGCAGGAGGCTCTTGCTTTGCAGGGCTTTACGCAAGTGTTGTTGGCAGTTCAGGTTGTGTAACTAACCCCTGAACCGGGGAGTTCGATTCGGAACCTCCAGCTCTCCGTGCCATAGAAATCCAAGAGCTTGCCATGACCCTCGTCAAAGGAATGTTCATGAGAGTGTCAGAGCCGTGCTCTTCGAAAGCCTCCTGGCCCTTGTCTTGTGGCTTCGGCAGGCTTCCTTGGCAGGCAGCCAGGAGATGAAAGAGGCTATCCAGGAGTGGTTCAGGGTTCGGCCGGTGTTAGCGGCATGTGGATTCAGGATTTTTTTATATTTTTTCAGGATCGGCGCATGGAGCTTTCGTGTGGGTTGCAGTGAGGCCGTTAAAGATCGGCTCCCAGGCACAGTTTGGGTTGTGTTGTTTTCCCCTCACCTGTGCTTGAACTTCGTTGAGGGTTTGTTTGCTTGTCTCCAGTGGTGACTAATTACTGAAGTTTCTGCTTCCAGAGCTTCCCACTTACTGCGAATCAGCTTGCTTTCGGATTCTGAAGATCTTCTGCACGACATCAGGCACACACACACACAAACACCGCAGGTACGGATTCTTTTCACTCTAGACCTCATGATCTTGCTAAACTAGCGACATCCCACAGAAATCAGTCAGGAGCGGACCCGTTGCGATCCGAAGCTGAAAGAAGTCTCCGACGAGGCCACGGACATCTGGGTCTAAGGGGCCAATTCATCACATGGCATGGTGTGACGAGCAGTCGCTTCGTAGTGCAACTGCCATCTTCAACCCGTGCGATGGACACACTTCAGATGCTGAAGACTTTTTTTCAGTCTTTGAGTATTTGGGTGAGCCTAGAACGTAAGGCTTCGAACTACAAATCCACTGGGCACGGCATGTGTTAGTAGTGCAGGGCCCAGGCAGTTCCTTATGCACTTAGTGGTTTGCAGCTTGGAAGCAGGTCAGCCGCGCTTTGTATGGCAGTTCGGGACTTGGCTATTTGTCGCCAAGAGCTCCTTCGTCGGCCTGTCGCAGCATTCACCTGCCCATTGTTGGCATCCAAACCACCTCAAAGGATAGTAATGACACGGCTGTCTACACCAATGTGACTTCTTAGGTCCCGAGCTCCTCATGTACGATCGGGTGAAGCTGCTGCTTACCGGCGGGACTTGAGAAAATGCGTCATGTGAACACGAGGGCCACACCTAGGGTGTGCTGCTACTCTTTAGGGTTTCCCTTATGTGTGGGAAGGTGATAAGCATATCCAATCCGACCGAGCTGCAGGGGCACCGATACTCATATGATGTATTGACTTGAGATATGTTATAAGGGTTGCAGTAAAACAGCCTTGAGTATGCTTTGCTAGAATAAAGCAGTATAAAGCCAAAATAAATCAATATGGTATATTACGATGTAATATAGCGCAGTGTAAAGTCATAGAGTAGTAGCTGTATACTCATATACATATGTGTACATGTATGTAAATGTACATCAACACAAGATAGTACAATATAGGATAGCACACGATTACTAAGAGAAGGCATAGAATAACAACAACATCTTCTACACAATACAATCTCATACTATATAAGTAGTCTAGCAAAGTATAGTATGTCTGGGACTGGGGAATTCATGGCTGGGGTTCGTAGTCGGACTAAGAAGCTTCAATATCGGTAGGATTGACATTCTGATTGAGGCTCCTGAGCCTGCAGCTCCTTCTTTCGGAGAAATCTGCAGACTTTGATTGCCTGGCAATCTCTTGCTCCAAGGTTTTCTGCCGTAGCGTCATACGGCTATTGGTGTAGATCATGCAGGCCCCAATCCCCCTGCAAGCTCTGAGCCGACCTGGAACTTATGAAGTGGCCGGTGTAGAGCACAGATGCCGTGCCTAGCTCGACGGAGACACGCAACACTGCCAAAACTTTCACTTCCAGAACGAGTACACCAGACTTACATCGGGATAACTGCAGGGAGAGCTTTCCAAAGAGAAACGTCTCACCTGCTGCTCAAGATCCTGGCGGAGGACTGCAAGGGAAATCGGTCCGTAGAAATTCTGCCAGGACAACATTGCCTGAGTACACGAGGGAAGCGAGATTGCTTGCACCGCTTCATTTGCGAGTTTTTGTTTCGCCCGGAACTAGTAGTTCATGCTCAATCTCGAAGTGTACTGCTCCAGGCTGTTTTGTCCACGGCTTTGGCATGCATCTTCAGTCCATTGGTGGAGCAAGCTTGGGGCCAAAAGCTTTTGAAAAGTTCGCGAAGCCACCCAGCAGCCTTTTCTTCACTTGTGTCTTCAAAATCCCGAAATTCTGCGCGTTGGAGGAGGCTGTATGGCCTTCTGAGATTCTCTTCGCCTTCCCTTCGCAGCTGCAGGCAGAGGATCTAGGAACTAAGTGAATGTGGACTGCCAAGCTGCTCACATGTAGGGAGGGGGCTCAAGGAATTATGGAATGAATCAGGAATGAAGTTGAAAACAAGCAAAAGCACAACAGTAGTAGTGTTGTCCACCGCAACATCTTGTTCCCACAACCGACAAGGGGCTCCACTCCATCCCATCCGTGTCTCATGACTGCGGGCTAGTGATCTTCCGAGGTTCTGAAAAATGTCGTCGCAATCAGATTGTTATGTGTAGGTAAAGCCGACCTCCAGCCAGTTTGTCGCCGCTCCGCTGTCCAGGCAGCATGTGGTGCTGCATCACGCAGGACAACCAGGTGCGAGATTTGTCATCGCCAGTGTCCATACCCAAGGCCAACATGCCTTCAATCGAAATCCGCAGCCCGGGTGCCAACTCTGACAGCTGCAATGACGGTTAGCAAGTACAAGTCGCGGCCCTCAAGAAATGATGTTGCCTGGATGTTGCTGTCGTCTCTCCTTACACAGAAGCCCTCGCACAACTCAAGTGATTCCTGGTCCGGTGCTGGCTTAGTGCACTCACACTGCCGGAGGACTCGGAGCTGACCGTAGCCGCCTCTCACGTCCTGCCTCAGGCAGCATGCTGTGTGAGCATTGGCAAGTTGCAAGATGTGTGTGTGTGTGCGCAGTATACATTGTCATACACATCTGTGTATCTATATAATATATATATATATATATATATATATGCACATATGTCATATGTATAAATAAATAAATAAATATATATATATATATGTATATATATATATATATATATACATATATATATACATATATATATATATATATATTCATACAGCGCTTGGAAATATCTAAAAGCATTGACCATGATAGTTTGCTGGATGAACTAAGTTAAGCATAGATTATACAGTAAATTGCGTTCTAAGTCTTTCTAAAACCAACGACGTCTGCTTGCCACCGAAATCAAAACGATACTTATATCGTGGAGGTAGCAAATGAAGGAAGGGGCAGTGGGGGCACGGGGGGCCAAGGGGGGGAGGGGGGGAGGCGGCAACACAACACAAAAAGTTCTACGCTCCTCCTTCTCCCCACCCCTCCGGGACCCAATGGCCCGGCCTTCGCCCTGGCAATGCCCGAGCTTTGACAAGGTCCTCATGCACGTGTATACGTACGTATGTATGTAAATAAGTAGGCACACACACACACACACATTTATGTATCTGTACAAATTCCCACATGGCCGCATGTGCATGAACAGACAATCAAGGACCCGCCGTTGCGTTCGTTCATTTTCAGCACTCATGCATCATGCATCCCGATAGAGCTCTTTCAGAGTGCCCTTGGTGAGGGTTGTGACACAGTGGTGAATTCTACATTGTACACGTCGCACATGAAGTTGATTAAGAGTGTTTGGCCTAGGGCCTATAGGACTCAGGAAGATGAACCATGTAAGTTTTGGTCTCAACCTCCGAACTTGGTTCACGAAGGACAATTGATGCACCAGTGTATGGAGTAGCACATGCGTGTAGCTCTACTACGGTTTCAGCATGTCCTCTGCCTTCTGCTCAGGGCATCGACATCGGGAAACTTGAAGACCGTCCGGAGTTCATCTATCCAGATGGTTCGAACACTCAGAGGGTTGCCTGGGGCGTCGTCAGCGATTGTAGATCAGGGTCTGCATACGTGTGCTCACAGAGCTCCACAATTCACGAGAATTGCTCAGCCTCAAGAGCGCGAAGGGTCAAAGCCTGACTTTCATGAACAGCTAGTGCACGTCTGTCTTTGGCTTCAAGTCTTGAACTTCCGGAACTGTGCTCAGATCCGTCATGCCGTCGTCAACATAAGCGTGGGGCGAGCTTGCTCGAATTGTCCAGGCAACACTGCAACACGCATGTGTTCCTTAGAGAAACTGCAGTCAGGGCTTTTGCTAACTTTCCTTGCAGAATGGTGTTCTGAAGGTGATCATCTGATGGCATAGTTGTATCGCAAACCCGAGACCCTCAGCTCTAAACCGGAAGGCCACGAATCGCAACAGCACTCGTGAGCCGTGATGTCTGATTCATCCGGCGGTTTTCGTTTCGTGAGGCCATGCCTCAACTCTGTCAACCTGCAATTACTGTAGTTGCCGAAGTTTTGCTTCTAGCCTTTATTGTGGGTCTAGACACAGTCTTTGGTTTGCGAGTTTTCCAGGACTCACGTTCACTTCAGACTTCCGCACGCCCAGGTTCAAGCTATGTTGGGCAGTGGAACGGCAGCAAGCGAGAAGGAACTGGCGTTCAGGCCAGCCTTCAACAGCTTGCTGCCAGATGCAGTGTTCTTGTTTCCCGATTGTCCATGACTTGGGCAGCATGTTGGCTTCTGGAATGGCCAGTTTGAGTTTCGACAATCAAAATGTGGTCCATACCAAGACAGTCGCCGACTGTCAACGCTACTCGGGCGCGTGGATGAGAGCTTTTACTTTTAATCCTGTTCCTGTCACTATGTCGACGGCGACGACGACGGCGACTACTGCTGCTACTACTACTACTACTACTACTACTACTACTACTACTACTACTACTACTACTACTACTACTACTACTGCGACGGCATCCACGGGCGACCTACTGCAGGTAGTTCTGTCAGTATTGCTTGCGGTAATGGTAGGAGAATGGGACTGACTTCAGACGCAAACATGTTTTCGAAGGTTAGTAATGACACTCCTGGTTGTTGTCATCTGAACAACACATGGAACAGGTAATTCGAATTGACTTTGAACATGATACATGCTCTACTGGACTGAAGTATCCCTGCGATAGCAGGTATGGAAGGACGGTGAGCGGTACACGGGTGGCTGGATGGCTGACCAGTTTCACGGGAACGGGAGGCCAGCCCATGACCCTGCCACCATCGTTGTTCTCAAGGGTTCGCGACGACATTCCTTTTTGACACGTCCAAGCTCATTTCAGTGTTTATCCCTTTGCTTGACGCACCTCTCGGGACTTTAGCCGCTTCTTGGTTCATCTTTGGAGGACAGGCTTTCAAGCAAAGACGCTTGTGCTCAGAAGCACTGCTGCTGGGTTGGGTTAGATAGGGAGTCATGCGTCGCGTAAAGTCTACCTACTCTTCTTGCACGGTGCGACCCGATTTGCAGATGTAGAATGGCTGTGCGAGTGCTAATTAGTGTTGGTCTCGTTTTGTCCATGGCCACTGCATGCCTGCTAGCACATGCCCGACAGAAGCTACGTTAAAGTGTTCGCTGGTTTGCAGGATGAAGGCCGCAGCCCGACTCCATTCGTGGATGATGATGTCACACGCACACCCACACACTTGCTCAATCATGTAAATGATGCTGCAGTCCAAAAGTGGCAGGTTTGAGCACCAGAACGGAGACTTCTACGAAGGCGAGTTTGACACCGGAGCCGCACACGGCAAAGGCCCGAGATGTCGGGGCAGGAAAGTCGGAAAGACGTTGCTGCACAGGCTATGCCATCGGACGTTCCACCTTCGTTGGCCACTTGAAGTGTGTCATCACATGCGGAACAGTCGGGGATCATCTTCGGCCTTGCACTGGCTCGGGCAATGTCCCCCAGAGAGGAAGAAATTCATGTTGAATCCCATCAGATTCATGTTGGTCCGACCCTAGATGCCCATGCATCCGAGCCAATGGCCCTCCCCTGTCGCTATCCATTTGCAATTTGCAGTCCCAGAGTCCCGAAAAGCAATGCCATGTCAGCCAGTGCCAGGCACGTACCAGCAGATTGGGGGTGCAAAGTACGTCGGCGAGTGGCAGCAGGATGGCATGCCGGCATATTAATGACTTTCACCGCGTGCTGTATTGAGTGGAACTTACTGAATCTCGCGTATCAGAAGCCTTTTGAATGAGCTCTGAAGCCATAACCTTTTGCCTCAATGGGAGTTGCTTTGGTCTTGTTTTCCAAGCCTTTCGGGTCACACAGGCAAAGCTATCGAGCTTGTCCCGTCCTCTGGTTCTCAACTGCAGATCTAGCAGACATTCATGTCCATGCGAATCCATATAACCAACCCGCCTAGGTAGGCCCAGTCTCACCGATCAACACCAAGAGCCACCTTTCTCAAACAGCGTCCTCGATCTGCAAGGGTTCCTTCTCAGAAGCGCGGACGAAGCAATGTCTCACAGAAACCCAAAATCTTAAAAATGCCAAACCCGGCCCTACGCGCCGATAGCTCTTCACCCCAGCCCCTAGCAAGGGGTTGAGTCTCGACCTATGTAGGCCCCAGAAATGGCTGCGGCGCAAACGCAGGCGAGTCCCCAGTCCCCAGGTCCGCATGACATGCTGTAGCCGCTTCAAGACCTACAGAAGTACTTATTGATGTGTGCATGCATACATACATATTATGTACATGCATACTTACAAACATATGTATACATATGCATATGCATATACATATACAATCATATACACATATATCCACATATACATGTACATTGACATTCACATATGCATGTACAGACACAGATGTTTCTGTATGTGTATATGTCTCATTTGCATTATACACATGTGTATAAATATATATATATATATATATATATATAGAGAGAGAGAGAGATAGATATGGTACCCAGAGAGGATCAGAAGCACGGCTTCGGCGAGGAAGCTTGGCCTGATGGTACCAGGCCCGCCCTAATTCTGAATTCTGATACTGTCTTCCCCAGATGCGTCTCCAGTCAAAGATGAAATGGAACATCGAATCGCAGTTTCTTTCAGAGTCGCAGCCTGTGCTGGCTGCAGTTCCTGACAGTCCTGAGAGAGCTTTGGGAAGGGGGAGGCTTGTGAAAGAAGCTCACCTCACGCGTTCTAGTGAGTACACCTTTGCTCTTGCAATCGTCGCGTTGCGAATGCTACGATATAGTCTCCAAACTGGTACAGCAGTTAGTTTCAGGTTTCCCACCATCAAACCTGTTGAGCGACACCGTAAGGGTATGTACACCTAGTAGCCCACAGTTGTGCCACAGTCTGGCTGTCTTGCCCCGTACAACTAGTCTTTGGGTGCATCTCCGGGCGAGTGCCTGCAGAAACAAACGGGTATTATGGACGATGTGACAAAGAAAGACAACCACCGCCACCACCAACACCACAGCTGAAGCACGAGCAGCGGCAGAAACAGCACCAACAGCAGCAGCAGCAACAGCAACAACAGCAACAATCACAACCACAACAGTAACGACAATGACAATGAGAAAGATTGTAACTGTGCTGCGTCATATTGATGATAAGGAGAGGAACAAGTAGTAAGAGCAACAACACTCGGCAGAAGCACGCTAAATCTTCGAAGAATGGCTGAGATCGATTGTGAGTCTTCCATTGCTTGGCGGAGCTGCCGATTGGAAGGTACTCAGGCTACTATGTGCGGGGAGAGAAGTCCGGCTATGGAGAGCTGCTGTGGGCCGATGGGCCGGAATCCCGTGCGGGATTGGTTCATGCATGAGTTTGCAGTGGATTCGACTTGCGGTGGCAGTTGTATCCTGTCGTCGTCCCCTGCCCGTCTCTGTGAGCAGGGCGTGCTTTATCATGCAATAGCTTATGTGTCAATGACTTCCAGACAAGGGCATCCCAGAAGACGAGCGCTAACGTTTAGTTTTCGGTCTAGAAACAGTGGTGAGTAGGGCCAAGCAGGGCAGCGGGGCGTAGTGCCTAGATTCCGTTGACTGCTCCTGCACAGCATACCAAGCAAAGAGTGGGTCAAATACAGTCACAGACCCCACAGAAAAGACATGACAAAGTCGGGCTCGATGCCAACATATGTTTGATACTACATCTGATTGCTGGCTGATCTCTCCGATGTCTATCTATCTTTTGCAACATGTATCACGTCTTCCGCTTTATTGATGTAGCATGTCAGCAACACTGTTTGCGCCAGCCCGGATTTCCCCAGGTCTTCTTACCGTGGAGGCTTCTTGAAGAAGCAAATCCACGGCGAAGGCGAGACAAAAGAAAGAGGTTGACTGAGCTTCGGGATGTTGGGTAGGTAAGCCGTTCCGGGTACCTTGTCAAGGACCCTACTGCTTCGGATCGATAGTGGGTGTCCCCTTGATTTCTCGTCTGCGTGTGTGTGAGAGAGACAGAGAGAGCTGCTGTTAGGTGGCTGGGATCAGCAAGGCTTCTCTTGTTACTACCTACGTCATTGATAACAGTTTTGATTTGCGGACTAGTTTTCTTATAGTTTTCTTGCCAGACCAATAGCAGACTTTTGGATGTTTTGGCTTGTTGGGTCGCTTCAGAAATGCCAAGGTGTGAAGTTTTCGCTTGACTTTTGAAGCATGGAGTTTGGGAGTGGTGAGCAGAAATCGACTGTGACGGCTGCAACAACAATTTCCCGCATGCAGGACGGGACGCTGATTTTTCCGACTGAGCTTATGTAGATGTTGAACACAGTGGAGGCTTTACCAAGCCACCTTCAAGTGTCCGTAAGACGTATATAAACCCAAAACCCTTTCCCCTGAGGCGAATATATTTGGGCGGACGGGCGGCGCTTTCGGGGACAGCCACTCCCTCAGGGAAGCCGAGGCTTCCGAAGCTGGCAGTCGAGGTCTCCGGATCAACTCGGCGCTGCAGAGCTACCATAGGGGCCTTGAGAATTAGAATTGGGTTTGGGTGTAGAGTTTACTATACTTATAATAAGGAACCCCCAAATAGTATAGATAATTATTAAGGCCCCGAGTGCACTGTTGTTTGCAGAGGGCGCTGAGATGTTTCGCCCAGGAGTCGTCCACGATTGCAGCAGGGCACTGGGAGATTAGAGTCTAGAGAACCAACATGCAGAACAGAAAGAAAGTCTCACACATCAATCGGAACTCTGAAGACTCCGTCCGTTTGAGTGTTGTGAGTGCCGCAGTAGCTCAGTAGCTGGTTAAAGTCAGAGGAGGATCAGTTCTCTGGGGATCATGATTCAGGTGCGAAGTTCAGCTTTGTCACTGACCTGACCAAGCTTTTCAGCCTAAAGTTCGACGGGGCCATTAGCACGGAGAGTAGAATGAGTAGAAGCCCATGGCACGCGACAGGATTTCAACTCCATGGCCCTTGTCAACTTTTGCCCGAGCGCTGCGTAAAGCGACTCTCCAACTCGAAGCCACAACGAGAAACACCCAGCAGCTTCTTCTCCAGGTGGGTGGCGAATCAGATGCATGGAGCAGGTGGGATATGATACCGGCCCGATCTGGGACATATCCTAAGGCTTTCCAAGGTGTCCCTTCTGAAGTTTTCTACTCATCTCGAAACCACAGTCCGTCCTCCTGCAAAAACATAGGGGCTTAAGTGTTCGTGTCGCTTTGGCAGCCATGCTACGCAACCTTGCGCTAGCGATCACTTCCTGTCCGTGCCGGCACCTCTTTTGAGTTCGCCTGGCGCTGCCTCCGAAAGCTTTGCACGCATGATAACTTAGCGCTAGCGGCGGTGCGGAAGTGACTCTTCTCGTCTATAGAGTCTGGGCACCCATGCAGATTCCTTTTCATGAGATCACCACGCCAACTTCTTGTGTTCGGACATCAACTACCGGATGCTCTCTTTCCTTCAACACGCGTCTGTCATGTCCGCGTGAAGGTTTTACTTTCGGACCCTCTGCTAGAAAAGAGCCTTCCGCTATGCAAGGGGAGGAGGTGCGAACCTTTGCTGATTTGAGTCCGAGCTTTCTTCAGGCACATTCGGTTGGCCTGACGGTCGCTCCTACCAGGGCGAGTGGCAGACTCAGAGGGCCTTTCCAAGCTTGCATGGGGACGAGAGGAACGTGTGGAGGGGTTTTCTGCGAGGTACTACTACGACAAGAAACACGGAGAAGGCGCTTTTGAGTGGTCCGACGGCCGAAGGCAGGGCAAATCTGAAGATACCACAGACTTCAACCCGTCTATGGACTCTTTCGCGAACCTTTGAACTATAGGCAACAGGCGTTGGTGTTTGCTACGACTGCTGCGAGTAACACTCCCAAATCGAAACCCGAGGTGAGCAAAGCAATCCCAAAATCATCGGCCTTGATCATACGATTACCGTGATTACACTGTCATCATAATCATCTACTACAGCCGCTATTCCTCCTCCTCCTCCTCCTCCTCCTCCTCCTCCTCCTCCTCCTCCTCCTCCTCCTATTTCTACTGCTGCTACTACTGCTGCTCCGAGTCCTAGTCCTAGGGAACCCCTCCTACTCCTGCTCCAAGACTCCTCCGACTACTACTCCTGCTCATCGTTTTGCTAGGTCTGAGGAGGTTGTCATTATGTTCTTTCAGGTACACTGGCCAGTGGAAGGATGGGCAACAGCACGGCAAAGGCATCTTCCGAAAGGCAGATGGTTAGAGCCCCAGCCACTGTCTGCGGTTTTCGGGCTTAGGTTTCAAGTGACGGGGGTCTACAACAGAAAAGTTGTATATACAGGCGCTTCAACGCAGTGCTGTAAAGGCTGTACGGTCGGAATCTGTCGCAGTCTGCCTGCGTCAGGCAATCCCCAAAGTCTAGATGTGCCATGCCAGTTGAAGTGAAGAACTCGCATGCAGCCGGGTGCTGCAAACCATAGTTTTACCCGCCCTCCCGCCCCAGAGTGGACGCGGAGGGGCGGCTTTGCTGGCCGCCCATGCGCGGATGCCTTCACAAGTTGGGAAAGCTCGAAGATTTGGATATTGCTGCCAAAAGTGCGCTTGGTGTGCTTGCATGGATAGGTATGGCTTCTAGACGATAGGGATAGAGTTTAGGGCTCAGGGTTTGGCATTGGGATTTCCGTGCTTGGGAGGGTCCCCTAGATGCCCATCGCACAGTGTTGGGATGCTACATCTCATCGCAACAACAAGCCATCTCATCGCAGAAGGGACCATATCAGTCACAGTACCTCAGAGCAAGTCCTCATGTCTGTGTAGGTAGTACAGCTGACAGTTTCTACGATCACGACTGGTCTTTTCGTAAAGCAAGGTGCATTGACGCCCCGACGGCTTTCCGTGTTCGATTCAAAGAGCTGCCTAGAGCTGATGTAGCTTGGAGATCCTCGCATGCAAGCCAACGGAAGGCCTTGGACTGGAACGGAGAATGCTTAGGGGTACTTAGAAATATTTTTTAGTCTTTGGTTATTATAATCCCTCAGAAACAGCAAAAATTATAATTTTTGCTGCTAGGGTTCTAAGTTCAGTATAGAATGGGGTGTTGCAAAAAAGGATGGGTTTTAAGACCCTCTCGTCCTCGGCTGACCATTATTCCCTTCCCCTGAGCAACGATGACAACGTCTTGGTTGGACAGGGTTTTGTATATGTGCTAATATTGGGGGGGCCTTAATAATTAGAATAGGTGGGGGGGGATATTATCTTACAAGTAGAATAAGGACCCCATCAATGGCTTTGCCACCCAGGTTCAGAGGAGGACGGCACCTGGACGGAGGGCAAGCTGACGAAAAAGTCCACGAACCTCTAGTCAGATCTGACTGAATTCCCAAAGGGTCCTACGTCCTAGGTACTGTTCTGGGACATACTTCCCCAAATCATAGTAGAAGTTACTAACATAGAAACCCTACAGTCTACCATATAGGTACTTCGGACCCTCTGGGATTATGGGGTTGCGAAAAGGGTTACTGAAAGGGTTCCCATCCGAGCTCATCAGGGTTTTGTGGGCGTTTCTAGCCGGCACCATGCATTCTCAACCCGCTACGAACACCCTCTATCGCTGCAACAACGATGCAACGACCTTCCAGATTCCAGCTGCAGGGGGTTGCTGAGCAACAGCCTTGTGAGACCGTGACCGTTTGGGGCGACTGCCAGGAAAATGGTCCAGGAAGCTGCAGGATTAGGTCCTGCAGAGGGGCAGAGCACATGCATTACACACACACGCGATACTTCAACAACAGAGTTTGACCTTTAGACCCCAAGCCTTGTGGACAAACGCCCCGAATTCAGAGACTCGAACCTCGGACCCGACACTGGCACGTGCCAAACACCATGGCTCCCAGTGCATCGCCATTTTCAGTCTAGTGCCCCTCCCGGGCTTTGATGCCGTAGCTTGCCGACTCCTCCGAAGTCAGGGCTGAATGCTTCTTGCCCAGACCTTCAACTCTCAACTCCAGGCCATATCTTCTAGCACGTGTTCTCTGAGACGAGGACTGGGAGTCTCCTAAAAGACGAAGTGGATCGAGGAGGTGGTCGCTGACTACAGCCCTCGCACACAGGGTAGGGTCCTGGCCCGAAGTTCTGCTCTCGACTTGAGATGTTGCCAAGAGTACCGAAGCAGGCTCTAGGATTGGGAGTTTGGGTTTAGGGTTTGGTAGCTTAGGGAGGTTTAGGTTATCAGACATGCTGTCACTTTCTGCTCCTGCTCCTGCTTCAGCTGCTG